TGGGCAAGGAAGCGGGAGGGAGAGGGGTAAACGGAAAGGAAAGGACAGCTGGGTGTCAGGCTGGCCTTGAAGACTGCCTTGCGGGGTCGCGGCCGCCACAGCCCCTGGCTCCTGCCGGCCCCACCCTGGCAGCCCCCCGCGCGTGGGGTTCCCTCGCGCAGCTTTTCTCCTGCCTTTGCCCAAATCGTCCCGACGAGGCGCCAATCCCGGGCCTGGCCAGCAGGCGGCGAGCCGAGGGCCGCCCCGTAGTGGGGCAGGCTTCTCCCTGGCACCTCTCTCCACGCCCCCCTCCGCTTACCCAAACTCAGCCTGCAGGAGGCTGGACCCGCCCCCACCAAGCCCCCACCGCCTGGAAGTGCTCCGCGCACCGGGAAGTCCCATTTTTGAGATTAGTCCACTGAGACTCTAAGGGGCCGCGCCGGCTTGGTCCTGTGCCCTCGGCCCTTTAGGGTCAGAGGTTCGGCCTTAAGCCCCCCACACCCCCAGTTGCCTTTGGCCTCTACCTGTCCAGCTCCACCCAGACTCCGCTCACTACCTATGTCTCCCCATCAGCGCACCCCCGGAACGCTATGGCCCACCCCTCCGGCTGGCCCCGCGTGTAGGATGGTAGCACACAACCAGGTGGCAGCCGACAATGCAATCTCCACGGCAACAGAGCCCCGACGGCGGCCAGAGCCTTCCTCCTCCTCCTCCTCGCCCGCGACCCCGGTGCGCCCGCGGCCCTGCCCGGCGGTCCCGGCTCCGTCCCCGGGCGACACGCACTTCCGCACGTTCCGCTCGCACGCCGATTACCGGCGCATCACCCGAACCAGTGCGCTCCTTGACGCTTGCGGCTTCTACTGGGGGCCCTTGAGCGTGCACGGGGCGCACGAGCGGCTTCGCGCCGAGCCCGTTGGCACCTTCTTGGTGCGTGATAGCCGCCAGCGGAACTGCTTCTTCGCTCTCAGCGTGAAGATGGCCTCGGGCCCCACGAGCATACGCGTGCACTTCCAGGCTGGCCGCTTCCACCTGGACGGCAGCCGCGAAAGCTTCGACTGCCTCTTCGAGCTGCTCGAGCACTACGTGGCGGCGCCGCGCCGCATGCTGGGGGC